GCAGTTGCTTACTTGTTCTCCTCTAACCCAACAACAGCTCCTAACATCAGCTCTGGCCTGGAAACACAGGAGAGGAGACAATTACTTTTGAAGATGAAAGATTTGGGGCTTTTGATAACCAAAAGCCCTAAGAACGAGAGAAAAGGCAAGATACAGGACTACCTCTTACCAGTAGTAAGAGAGCAAACTTCATGAATCACTGATTTCATAACTGTTCAAGTAAACATTTGCCATATGCAAACGTTTAAGTGGGGTGTAAGAGTATGTCACATAGTGGTTTTGTATAAACATATAAACATCACTTAACCCAGGGGGCAGAATTCATAAAGACATTGAGCTGAGTGTGTCTGGCAGTAGGGAAACAAAAACAGGGCTGGCTCATGCCTTTCAAGCCTTATGGGTACTCCAGTAGGTCCTCAGGCTCAATTACTTTTTCTTTTTAAATACACTGACACAAAATGGACAGAAGGCCAACCGTATCCTGGACTGCACCAGAAGAAGCATGGCCAGCAGGTTGAAGGACGTGATTCTGCCCATCTACTCCACTTTTGTGAGACCCCACCTGCAGTGCTGCCTCCAGTTCTGGGGCCCCCAACATAAGAAGGACGTGGACCTACTGGAGTGAGTCCAAAGGAGGCCACAAGGATGATCCGAAGGCTGGAGCACCTCTGCTATGAGGACAGGCTGAGAGAGTTGGGGCTGTTCAGCCTGGAAAAGAGAAGGCTCTGGGGAGACCTTATAGTGGCCTTCCAGTACCTGAAGGGGCCTACAAGAAATCTGGGGAGGGACTTTCACTGATAGGGAACTATCAGTAACTACTTTTCCCCAGAACACAGGTTCTCAGCCAGTTTGGGGTACTTTATATCTTTCAGTGAAACTGCATCACTTCCATTCATCCAAGCATGTGTCCCACAGTCCAGTGAGCACATGTAGAGAGGTGGTAAAGTGATAGGCTTCTCCTAGGTTGTTCATATTAACAGTAGAGAAGAAAGATTTCTATCTCAGACGCCTTTCAGACACATAACAGAGCGGATTTGGGGAAGAAGCACTGTAGGCACATAGGTGTTGGCGGCTAAATGAAAGCTTTGCTGTCACTGGGAACAAGGGCAGGCAGAGCAGTGGGTGGCATCGTCCTATTAATAACCCATCTTCCCTTGCAAACATTTCAGCATAACATTTTAATTATTTGTGGTCAGCAAAGTACTGGAAGACCCTCAAGGAAGGCACCACCACGAAGGTGTTGCTTTTAGAGATACATGGAGCTAATAGACAACTCTGCATCCCCCATGCAGCTGACTCTCCCTATTTCTTTCTTCCTTGGCTTTCTGCATCCACATCAGAAGTTGGTCTTGTTTTGTACTGTGTACAGGATCAATTTTGTCACCAGGTGTTGCTCTGTGAGAACATTCCCTTTTTATATCCCAAGGGCCCTGTGTTAGCTCTCACACCTGCTGTGCTCTCCCAGAGGAGACTTTACCATCACTTTCCAGCAACATAACTTACTCCCTGACCTCCAGAAAAATTTCCACTGCCAAACCTACAGCAACAGAAGATGTATAGCCTGATGTGAGCCAGGAACCTCTCCAGAGAGTTAAAACATCAAATATAAATATCTAGCTGGTTTGCCAAAATCCAGTGATGCTAAGTAAGTTTATCCTTGAGTGGTTTAATCTTAAATGAGATAATGTACATCCAGTAAAAGATTGCCCCTACGGAAAGTCTGGTGACCTCCTGTTGATAAGAAGACTTAATTAAAAACTATTTTCTCCTGGATTCCTGAGACAATTGGGATGGTTAGAGAAGTTTTACAGCTATGTCCACAGCGCACACTGCCTGAAAGCTCTGAAGGCTGAGTCATCACTAAAATACTAGTCCTCTTGTGATGCTGATGAGCTCCATGTCGTGCCTGTCTCCGAAAAACTGATCAGCTGAGTCTGAACACTGCTGGCTCCATGGGGAGCTCACCTCTCTGCTCACTGGGGGCAAAAACTGCCACAGCGTGTCTGCATGAAAGGAAGAAAATCATGAAAGCTTGCCAAAAAAGCGAAAACCTAATGCAAACTAACTTAAAGAGAGATTGGAGCTGTGATTACCTCCTCCTCCTTCTCCACTGAACCTCTTGAAATTCTATCCTTCAAGAAAAGCCCTGTAGAAGTTAATAGTCATGAATTATCTCTCCATATATTTTAAGTCACACCTGCAAGATTGCTCTCGCAGGGCTATTTCTTCATGCAGCACTCAGCCCCCAAAGGATCTCAGCACAGAGCACTTTTACTTTTCATCAGAGCCCCACAGGTTTCCACATGTGCCCTGTTTTGTTCCATAAAAAGGGGAAATTAAAAATATTTCACGTGGAAAATTGATCTAAAATTAGTATTAAAAGGACGGGTCTGCAGCAATCCTACCTTTTTTTGGCCAGCCTTTGTTATTCTAAGGATGTCAAAGAGCTGTCCCGTGTAGTACTGCACCCCACTGAACAGAATGACAGCAATAGAGTCCCCTTCCTTCTCAATTACAGCAAGGATATCTTCAATCCTCAAGGTCTCCTCCCCCTAAAACAAAGTTAAGGCACACATTTCACATCAACTCTGGCAGTAATGAAACTGTCATTTCTTATTTCATAATCTATATTTTACCATGAGCTGTGCTGCTTGCATAAGGAGATCAAAAACAAATCCTTAGCACAGTAATGATATACAAAGGTAACACTATGAAGTAGCCTGTAAGTTACCTCAAAAAAAAAAAAAAAAAAAAAGAAAAAGAAAAAAATCATTAGAAAACTTATCTTGAAGGTAGCAGTTATAAAAAGGCTATTGACTTTGTATTCTAGCATGCTCCATATTCTTTAAAATTTCAGAAAGTTTTAATTTACAGTAAAAAAAAAAAATCCTGGTGCAAACAGCATATATAATGATTTTTATGCAGCATCTGAAATTTGTGACACCCACAAGACTTGAAAGTTGTCTATAAGTTTCACTCTGTACTTTTCCGATAAACTTCATATCCCACAGGAAGCTATTATAAACCTGCCATATTTATATTTCAAAAACAATAAGTCTCACATCATCAAAAGTACAAAAATCCCCAAACCTGGGGTCATTAAATATAGACGAATTTCAAAAAAAAAAACCCAAAACCAAACAAAAAAACCCCCCCTTATTCTTGATTCTTTATAGGAAAATTACTGCCCCATCCTCCTCCTGTCTTCCTAGCAAGGGATCATGTAAAACATACCACCACCTAGGGATCAATTAGGCAGTGAAAACCCAGAATTAAATTAGACTTGTTACTGAAGAAAGCTTGGGCAAGATTGTTGAATTGCAAGTAACTGTTATTATCTCAACAATCTTTGCAAATCTATCAAGCGTTCAGGAGTGGGCTCTTTACTCACACAAGATGACTCAGATTTCAGAAGCAAAAGGTCACCATCAGTTTATTGTTAGGTGGCAAAGTTCTTAATACCACAAAAGTGAAGTAAGGCAGTCTTTCAAATTAATCTGAATTGAATATTACTCAAAGCAGACTTTTCCCTGAGTCTGTGCTGATACACAGACTGCTGCTGTTCATGTTATGACAATCTTTTACCTAAGGACATTAAAAGGACATTGGATTTTCTCAATGAGCTCCTATATTTTGCAGTTCTCTCAGGATGCTGTCAGGTTTTACAAACAGGAAAAACAGGGAAAAATTTTGTTGTTGTTGTTTTTTTTTGTTCTATAAGTACCCTAATTGAACCAAACAATTATAAAATGGGTTCCAATACCAAAAAAATATACACAGAAACAGAATACACAATTCATAAATTTTCCCTAAAAGCATTAGTACAAATAAATTATAACTTCTGCAGGCAGATATTACAGTATTTGAGAATGTATGACTACTCTCTTATGAAATATAGCAAGCAATACTGCCTTTAGCAATAGCAAGCAGAACTGATGTATTTCTCACCAACCTCCCGTGGCTGCATCATGAGCATGCTAGTCTCCACATCAAGTCCATGAAGTCGAAGTTGGGACTCAACAGCATACTGGAAGAGATTTCCATGCAGAGCACATTAGCACAATTGCATGATAAAACAACTAAAAGAACAATGTCTGAACATATCAGAACTTCAGAAAAGGGATTTAGGGGCCAGGAATTTTTTCTTTCTCTAAAATTAACACTTGAAACTGAAAAATTCATATATTTCCTTTGACTCGAAAAAGATCAGAGTTTAATTCACATCATCAGATAGCACGGATAAAATCAAAGCCTAAATCCTGCAGGATATGTTCACGAAGCAGAATGAGGGTGGAACTGGGGTGGAAGATGCATTTTACCAGATTCCATCAGGCAAAGCTTACATGGATAACAGCCACAAAGACTGAATATCACCTCTCCAGGGTCTCTGGGTAACCACTTTGTTGGGTAGCACATGCTAAATCCCAGGCTGCCACATAGGCACTGCTGGCAATGCAAATGAGGTTTGGCCAACCCATATATGCTGTCCCATGTTATTCTCACATCTTAGATTTGCTGCACAGCTGGAAGGAAATGAGAGCTCTAAATTTTCAGGCTGTTTTGAAAATCCTACCCACTGATTTTATCAATAAATAATGGTTCTGGAGATAGCATAAAAATTATCGAATAAACTATAAAGGAGTTTAAAATGACACGACAGGAACTGAAGTGACGGGAGTTGCACAGGTTATTACTGAAGTGCCATAGAAATTTAAGATGGAGTCCGAATGTACAAGTACATCTGGAACAAACATGGGATTAGTATGAGCATTACTTAGACTAAAGGCAATTTCAGGTTTATACATCTGTGCCACCATCTTCATTAGAAATAAATCTGTGAGTAGCTTGAGTCATTTTAATCGCACCTTAGAGATCAAATTTGTTATCAATTTCCATGAGTTTATGGAGTTGATGATAAAGTAGCAGTGGGCCAGAAACCCAAAGATTAATTTGCTTTAAGCTGTGATGCACGAGCTATTGTCTCCTATTTTATAGCAGACAAATTATGTTTGAACTAGTAATCTAAAGTGCTAAGAACAAACATTTCCATTTCTGTCTGGGGATATATAAGTGTTAATGTTGTGAGTTTGTATTGATTTGGTTTCATAAAGTAAAACAGCAACAAGAATTAATAAAACATATACAACTTCAGTTGATTTAGGCCAGTAGTTTCCTCAATGTCTTTAAAAAGACTAATAAATCAATGTAACCATTCAATCTTTTTCTCTTGTAACGTTTTTTTATTTGAATAAAGAAATAAAGCTACGATCTGTAAAATATGCTGAGCTTAAAAGCTTCTGACAGATTTTTTTATTGTAATGTTACTTGGACAAGATGAGCTAATAAATATTCAAATCAGGCTACTGATATTCTTCAGAAAAATATGATTAATAATACAAATATAGTGAAATATTAATTTCTTACATGGTCAGAGGGAAAGGCTCTGGCTTCTAGAAGAATTTTATAGCGTGTTGGAGTAGGCTTAAAGAAAGATAGCTGTAAAGAAAAAAAAAAATATATGTTGATATGTATCTAAGCAGAGATGAGAGAGATGCTCCCAGTATATAACTTAATAAAGACTGCTTTACTTTCAGTCAAACTACAGAGAATCCCCCAGAAATTACAAATATTTCTTTGTTCATATAACATTTATCAAAGTAGTAAAGCTTTATAATACTGTATTTCATATATCCATAACAAAGGCCACAAAAATCCAGCAGTGAAAACTTACTCTTACAGAGATCAATGGCAAAGCTTTTAGTGTGGCCAGGGAAGCTGGGATTTCACCCAGCTCCATCCCGCAAGCAAAAAGCAGCGGCTAAAGACTA